AAAAAAGAAATGAAATGACGCAAATGCGAGGGAGGGTAAAGGCAACGGATATTCAAAGACCAAACAAACAAAGTTGACCAGGCATGGGTTAGTTAAGATTGCACAGGTAAGCTCTTACCCAAAACGGGTCGTAAAAAAAGAATACTACATTACCGGCATGCAGCATTGCATGATATATAGAGGAACGCTCAAATACCCACACCCAGAAAAAAAAAAAAAATACAAGACGAAAAAAAATCTTTCTTCAATGACGTCTTGGCGCAGAATTGAAAAAAACGGTTCATAATCACCACACCATCTCACAAATTACGGTTGGAAGTCATATAAACGTTAGTGGACAAAATACTATGGAGACAAATATTTCATTACAGGAGGTGTGACCATTTCTCTTTATTTTCAATCAATTTTACTCTCTACAACCTAAAAACAAAAATTATCATTAAAGTAAGCGTTAGCAGACCATAAGAAAATAAATGACCACTCAATTTTCACCAAAAGAAAAAAAAAAGAGTTAAATTATTTACTGACAGGGAAAAATTCAAAAAAACAAAATTCAGTACTTAAAAAAAAAGAACACACGTTTTACAAAATAATATATAAATCTCATACAATGAACAGAGAAAGGAGAAAAAACAAAAAACAAAAGAAATAAATAATTTATTACCGCTTATCACAATATTTGGCTGTGAAGCTTGCACTTGTTGTTTCCTCCCACAATCCCTTCAAAGCCATTTGAGGCAACACCTCCACAGGAGAGGGGTGGGGTGGGGGAACATCTGCAGCTTGGGAGCCACGAAGAGCCATTTGGCCGTCTTCTCCTTCCAGATCTATCCTTGTGTGTTGATACATACATATTTCGCATGATGGCACGTAACGCCGCTATGCTACCCGTCGGTTCTGAGGAGTGGCAACCTCAATTGGTGAATCTTCCTCAATCTCTTCTGGAAGATCCTCAGCAGGGGCCTTCGCATCGCTCTCTTTCCAAGGGAACAGGAAGAACACCTCGAGGACAAAGCACACCAGACCAAATCCGCCAAAGAAAATGAAGGCAATTGACTGACCCTTGTCCTGGTTACCAGACGGACCGCCAGACATCCTTTCCGTCGCAATCGGGTAGCATACGTTGATGATAAGGTTTAATGTGAACTGCACGAACTGTACAAAAGAGGAACCCTTCGGACGGAACGATGGCGGGAACAGATCCTGAGCCAATACATAAAAGCAGGACCCAATACCAAACTCAAACGCAGCAATGAACACAGCAATCCCAGTTATCGCAACACCGTTCTTCGCATTTGTAGATGCAATGCCAGGATACACAGGGACACCGCACAGGAACAAACATGCAAGAGATGCCACGAGCGAACACATAATAAACTGTCGACGCATAGTTATGCAAGAAGCAAGTGGGATTGCAACCAGTGTCGTCACGAAGTTCCACACCATCACCACGGCGTTACCCACAAGAGGTTCCATCCCCAGCCTGCCCATGATCGTCGGCGCATAATTCATTACAGCGTTGATACCAGTAAACTGTAACGTCCCAGCTACCACCGCACCCATAATAAGGCGGCCTAACATCTGCATGTAGCCGTATTCATTTGGGTCAAGTGCAGCTTCACCAGCTCCAGTTCCTCCAATAAATGTTGTCTTGCTCTCGCCCAAGAAAATACCAAGCACAATCATGAGCAGAGACAGCAGCGTCGAGAATGCACAGAATCCCTCCATACGGCCAACCATCCTTGCGTCCGCGTTCTTCTTAAAATTGACGCTGTACCCGAGGGCCAACCCCATCAAAGCAGCAAGCATGATACCGAATGTTTGGAACACCTGGAACAGCACACCAACCACTTTGGAGTTCTTCGGGTGTGCGTTCTGGTCAACATACATCGGGCAGACAACGGGAACAAGACCGAGCACGATACCAATCAGCAATCGACCAACGCACAGCACCCAGAACTGATTCGCGGCAGCAGACGCGTGGTACATCACCGACGACACGACGCCAACGATCCCAACAACCAGAAATGACACCTTGTGCCCGAACCGTGAAGCGAATCGCCCAGCAAACATCGAGCCAATCATGGCTCCGACAATCATCGCACCAGCAAAGATACCGCTATCGGTCGAACTGTATCCAACCGGATTCTTACAATACTTATCACTGTACACCCAGTGGCACTTTTTGTCTGCGAGGCACGCAGCCTCGGTGTTGTACGTGGCACTGCACGTGAAGTCCTTCCACCCACATGTAGCTGACGTGGTGTTCCATGCACATTGCGCGTTCGGCACAGTGTCACATCCATTAATTGCCTTATACACTGAGCAGTCTGTAGAGGTCAGATAGAAGTTGGCGTACACAGCCACAAAACCGATTGAGAAACCACTTAGCATGCCGCCCACCAACTGCACCTGTGCAACCTTCAGATTCTCCAGTGAGCAGAATGCAGGGGCCTCGTCTGATGTTACAGGTGCATCGTCAGGTCCTTTCTCCTCAATAGGGTACTCAGCAGGAGCCGTCGTCATGTTTCTTCTCGGAGCCTTTTTTTTTGAGTGTGCTTTACTTTCGCTTGTCGCAGATAATATTATTGCGGTTAATATCTACGTAAAAAAGAAATGAAATGACGCAAATGCGAGGGAGGGTA